AATTATTTCAATTTCCACAAAATAGATAAACTAGGATGGCTAGAAGAAAATGACATACAACTTTCGAGGATTGGGATTACTCACAACGTTGTAGTGAGAATGTTGACCAATTAATTAGATTTTAAGGAATTACCATATCATACGTGAAAGAATTTTAAACATTGATTTCGATACACATATTTAGATTTCGGATTCATGTAATGTTGAAAGAAATAAACGTGAAAAGTAATTAAAGTATTTATTTGCCGTTTTGACATCATTAGAAGCTTATTTGTAAGAAAAGTAATAATAATTGTTGGTTGGTTGGTTGGTTGGTTGGTTTGGTTGGCATTTCCTGCTTTAGAATTTTATTTTATTTTTTCCTGCTTGCTCACTGCTTAGCAATTATATCAGAGCTAGATTTTTCCTTATGTATCTCTAACATCTAAATTTTCATTCAATATCATAATAGAGTAAACAACATCAAGAGTATTGATTGAAGTCTCACCGTCTAAATTTTAAAGTAATCAGATCTTTAAAAATATAACTAGTTATCAGGGGTTAACGAACAAATTTTTTGGTGATTGGCAAAAGAAAAAAAGAATAGGCAACATCATGGTGCACTTTCAGTTTAGGATAATTTAAACAGTTCAATAATAAAATGTAATGAGACATTATATCAATCTCTATGCCATTGTAATATGATTGTTCAATTTATGTATTCTTGACTCCTGTAACGTCATCTACAAATTAAATCACCAATTAAATATATTATTTTCGTACTACTAATAACTAATAGAAATGGCAGAGGTCAGCAACTTTTTTAATAGTGCATGACTAAGCATAATCCCTTTCCTTTTCTTCTTATTAATTTTTTATTTAATTAATTGTATAGGGATGTTAATCTGACTTGTAGCTCGGACGATCCACTGCTCAGCTTGTAAAAAGCATGAGTTGGCTAGACTTGCCGCTCAAGCTGACCCTCATTTTTGGGGGGACAACTCGAGCTGAATCGTGTGACTAGTCGAGCCACATGGTTTGGCACACTTGGCAAGCCATTTTTGGCCTGTGTAATAGCAGGTATACAGTTATACCACAAATTTAAGATAAAAGGAAAAAGAGAAAAATCGAGCTTACTTGGTTCAGTAAGATCTCAACCTAAAGCTCGACCAAGCAACATCACACTTTGATGCATTACCTCTTTCTATATCTCAATAAATTACCTATTTTTATTAAATAAAAAGACGTTGATGCATTATTAACACACGGTCACATCACACTTTGGAGTGCTCTACTAAGAAAAGATGAATTATTGAGATAACAGGAAAATATTAGAGGACCATACATCTCAAAATCCAAACTTACCTTAATAAATTAGATAAGGAGATTAAGCCCCACAAGATTAAAAGTTTAATCCAATTGGAAGCTTGCCATGTTCCATATGTTAAAGGATATAAATAAATTAGCTTTTTTTTTTTTTTTTGAACTTTTCTATAGGGTTGATGCCCCTTCCACGACTTTCTATCGATAAAACGCAATTGGGAAATCTAGAAACTATTGAGGAAGCCTAAATATTGTTGGCATTTCGCTTAATATATAAAAAATGTAAATAAAAATACTTTGCTAGGATAGCTAGTTGAATGAAATCTAACGTTAAAAGTCCTCAAATAATGTTCTTTTCTGGAAGAAAAAAAAAAGAAAAAGAAAAAGAAAAAGGAAAAAGGAAAAAAGCAAGCCAACTGGTTTCCACATATTATTTTTGGAATTTAGTTGAAAAAAGTAAGTGGAAAAGCGAAGTTTAATTTCCTGTCCAATCAAAATGATGATCGGATGGGATGAAGGTCCACAATCCCACATGCCACATTAATATATCCTAATCATTTGCATTTTTCACTTTTTCCTTTCTGCTTATATATGTGAATTTGATGAAGTAATGAATTCAAAATAATTTAACTTTTTTCCACATCCACAGCAATTTGGAAAGGAGATTGCTCTTGTACAACTACGATCCAACCCAATTCAATCCAATTGTTTCATCTGTTAAGTAAATCTCACATCGATTTAATATCGAAATATTGACTAATTTAAATAGATTTTGGCCCACTCTTCTTAATAAGATGATCTTATTAAGATGGACCCCCAAATCTTAATATGGTATCAGAGTCCAGTAAGTTCCAACGAGCTATTTGATCCGATTAAGTCTCAAAAATGAACACGTGAATTTCAAGATATGTCTGCTCAAAAAGAGCCACCATAAGGAAATAAATTTCATATCGATTTAATATCGAAATATTGATCAACTTAAATAGATTTTGAATCACTCCTATTAATAAGATTGATCTTATTAAAATGGACCCCAAACCTTAAAATCATCGAGTATCAAAATTATAAAGCTTTAAACTGTAAAGTCATGTTACCAGTTACCGTTGCTAACTTGCTATTCTTCTTTGTTTATTTTTTTAGTAAATCCCATCATACTTTTCTTTAGTCAAAATCAAGTCAGTCCCTGACTCCATTTTTTCCAACCTAACTCTGACCTGAATGTCAAATTCTCAATGTCATTCTGAGACATTCCATGCTTTCTCACCTACACACTGATAGGAACAATGGTGGGTGGCCCAATGAAAAGATGAATCTTTCGAATACAAAATTTTTCGCACACGAAATTTACATTTGGAGAGAATTTTCAGTAGGACGATCACACCGTCACTCTATCAGGATGCGCCACCTTGGTGGGCTGCCCACCACACACCCCTAAGGCGTGTGGGCCATTGCCAAGTTGACGTCTCAACATTGGTGGTGCGCCCACCTCACTAAAAATTCTTCCCTACTTGATAGTGTGCCCGCTCCACTGAAAATTCTTCAGTACCATTGGCTTATGTTTATAAATATTTAAATAATTTTTTATTTACGTATTTCGAGAAATATATAATTATTATCCACTATTTATTTTTATATATTTATAATTTAAATGGTTAATAGATACTTTATAGACATGGGTGTTAAAATGAGTGGATCAACCAATAACCAACTGAAGGCCGGTACGGGTTTAAATCGGCCCGTTTAAAAAATGTAATTCTGGCTAAATCTGGAACATAAACCAAATTTGCAGAGAAAATTGAACTACGGATCCACCAATATTGCCGGATAGGGCAATCCAACCCGTGGGTTTCTTATTTATTTTTTAGCAGTTTATTGGAATTTAATTTTTAGAATGTGAAAATTACATGGAACCAAATTTTTTAAATTATCATTTTAAAAATCGGATTTAAAGTTTGTTTATACAAAAATCATATGATTGAATATTAATAATAATATTATAAAATTGAATTTCAAACCCATTTCATCTCTCTCTCTCTCTCTCTCTCTCTCTCTACACTGTTTCTTATACCATTTTTTTTCTCTTTCACTGGTGGTTCGCTTCCTTTGTCAACTCTCTTTACATTATCTCTTATCCATTTTTCTTCCTCATTGGCAGATGGTGACACGTTAGCGAATTCATCGCACTAAACAGTCGCTGTGAGTGGCAAACCAATCACTGTTCCTCGCTAAACGAAGCTTGAATTTGCCACGCACAACTATGGTCTAGTCGTTGCTGTGCATGAGGATCTAGTCGTCGCTGTGCATGGTGCTTTGATCTAGGCGAGCTCAGAGCTACGCGCACAACAGCATACACTATGGTTGTCGGTGCACGACGCTCTGAGGGTTGCCGTGCGTGACAATGGATTTGTGGTTTGTGTTGGTTATTTTTAATGGATTTATGGTTTATGGTTTTTTGTGGTGATTTTTGTGGTAGTATTTTAGTTGGTTTTGTGGCGGTGTTGGGCGATGGCCACACGATACGTGACTTGCGATCTAGTGCTGTGGTGTTTGTTGATGCCGCGATTTGGCAACGATGATGATGTTGGAATTTGGCGTGGGTGGTGGTGTGGTTATTGTAGTGATTGTTTTGCGTTGATCTGGTGTGTGAAGGTTGTCGTAATGGTGGTTTTTGCACTGTCTGGTAAGGCGATGGTGGTCATGGTGGTCGTGGGTAAATGGTATGGGAGAGGGGTGTGTGACCAATTATTTGGTGATTGTGACCAATAATTGGTTAATTTTTGACAAACAAATAATATGTGAAATAAAAAATGTGATTGACTAACAATTTATTACGTTGTGACCGAGAACTTAACTGTAACCAATTAATTTGATACATTGTGATCAATAAATGGGTTGTCACAAAAAAAAAAAGTACTAATTTTGTGACAGATGAATGATTTGCGACCGAAAAATAATTTATAACCAACTAATTCGATAATTTGTAATCAAATTGTATACATTTATAACCTTCAATATATTTAAATTCTAAAATATTTTTTAATTAATTATTTTATAAATAAAATTTAGTAGTATCTAATTTTTGAAATTTAAAGCTTATTACTTAGTTTGAAATTCATCATAATTAAACTTTTAGATATGAATTTTTCCCTTTTAGAAAATCAACCTGCGAACTTGCAAACCAAGTTGGGCTTGTTTCAACAAGATGAGACATCCGGCCCCAATCCATTTTCAAAGCCTTGCTTCCAGTGTTTATTTAGCCCTTGTTTGAACTCCATTTTTGTCATAAAAATGCATTTTTGAACAATATATTGATGTAAAATATGTTATTTAAAATATATATAAAAAAAAATTGAATTTGTGTGTAATATCATTTTATTAAAAAATGTGATTAAAATAATATCAAAATACTGTTTAAAAATATATTTTCTTTTTTCCAAAGAATGAGACTCAAACAAAGGCTTAATTAAAAGGAAATACAAATAAAAAAGATTTCAATTCTGCCTAAACCTAAGGTGGCTACTGAGATCGGCTTAGCCCTTTTTCTTGTACAGCCCACTAAAATGGTGGACGAAACGAACACAAAGTCCTTTAACCTGGCCCATTTTTGAAACTTTAACCTTGATCCAGTTTCTTCTTGCTAGTAATGATTAAATTAAATTTTTTTGTCAATTTTTAAGTGGGCAGCAAACAAAAAGAAATGAAGATGCTGCCTCAAAATTCCTCAGCCTTCTTAAAATAAATGTTAAAGAATCATCTGGCAAAATTATTCATCAAGGTAATATAGAAAATGAAATCAAATAAGGGCTCGGACACCAAGCTGTTGCATTTCTCTAAGCCTCCATATCGAGTAATGAGCGCCATCTCCAAGTTCTTCTGGATCTAGTTGCTGCATGGCCCAAGCATAATATACTGTGTGGATGGTATCCTGAATCAACACCAAATTTAAAATAGACATGTTAGTTTATACATTACTAATGCTAAGCACATTAATCTCATTTTAGCAAAACATAATGCCTTAAAAAGAGTGTTAAGTTCGGGCAAGAAGTACTAGTTTACTGTTTTCAAGAAATCAAGAGAAGCAACCTTTTGCCAGTTCATTTTCTACTCTCACCTATTCCTTTTACTTCACTGGGATATTGGGAAATGTCCAGTGCGGAACGATGGTTTTGCAAAGAATCAAATGATGACTTCCAGTACGAACACACATACACACAATGGAAGAGCGAGTTCAAATACTTTGGCACTTAAATGCATCAAGTCAACATTCCAATTACTAAATTGGCATTCATCTGTTTTATTTTAACGCATTTAACGATGCATAAACTCTAAGCTCCCTGTTGCACTTAGCAGTACGAGAAGCTTCTCCAATTTCAGCATTCTAAACCATGTGGAAAGGACACCAAAGATGGATCTAAGAGCTTTGTACACCAGCTTAGCGAAGCCTACTTTTTATCAGAATAACCAGAATTTGCCCCAAATCTCCATGCAGATGAATGATCATTCCAACATGAAGTTCTAATAATGTTTTGCAGGAGGAGCATGTAGCAATAAGTAAACAACAATCAACTCCAAATTATGTTCCCATTAAAATTACTTTCTTCCCAAAAGAAGCATAAAAGATGTACCCTTTGGCAGACTCGAGAATTAAGACTCAAGAAACGAGCCCTGAAATTATAGAAGCAAATTGGAAAAGACCAACAGTTTGATTTGTGAGGTTACCATCTGATCCTAGATAAAATTATGCTGAAACCACATAATATTCAAATATTCAGACAAAAATGACCAATGCAAAATAAATTCTCTTTTCATTTTAATACTCTCTTTAACAAGCACGAAAAGCAACTACAGGTGCAAAATGGGGAGGTTCTAGCATTTACCTGGCCACCTTCTGTTATAGATCCAAGTCTATCACGTACACAATAGACTTGTTGTGTTTGGAACTGTAACAATTTTCCACCAAAAATCAATCAGAATTTTATGATAGGGAGTCAATAGATGCATCCGACAAAGGAAAGTGGGAAAAGGGAGATCTTACTGCCACAATGATTATAGGAGTGTCCCCCATCATCTTGGTCTCTCGAACTTCAACTTCTGATATGTGTAGAATCTGTATGCCAGAGAAGAATTTTTGTTCGGATAAATGTAAAATCAGCAAGCAAACAGAACTCCCAAAAATCCAGTAAATGAAGTGCATAAATTTCAGCATGCATGATTTCTTAGCAAGACAGCATTTACTGCAACTACTAGCTTGGCTCATTATTCCTAAGAAAATGGATTATTTTTTCACATTTACCGTGCAAAGCATGCAGTTATTGATGCAATTATTGATGGGCACAAGAATCATTTTTGAACCATATCTATTATACATGCCCATACATAGCATCCCCATTTTTCCAAAGTCCAGAATACCAAGTCAAATTCATTTCCAATCCCAAGTCAGTCTCCTATTGCCACCCTCTTCACAACCCACAGTCAAATTTGACAACTCAAAACTACCACAGCCATCGCTACTGCCAACTTTTCTCTATGCTGCAAATCATAACCACTTACACCTGCATCCCCACATAGATCCCCCATAAGACATGTGAGAAAGGATCTGCATCTACAGAGTATCATTTTCTTCTAACAAGGTATTATTACACAAGCCCAACCAGGGACATTTTTCTTCACAAAAACTACACTGCATGAAGCAAAAATTATTACATCATTTACATTGCAAATAACTGTCCACTATTCCTGCCATTTCAGCACCAACCACCACTGCCATAAACTCAACATCACCAACTTTTCTCAGTGCCATCTCATGACTTTCCACCAATTCTTAACATTCGGCCAGTAAACAATTTAATTCAGACCCCCTAATCCATATAACCGGCTTCAGTACATTTGGTAGTGGTTGGTTTGTATTTTCATTTTCCATTTTCATTTTCAAAACGATTTTTAGTTTTCCCTGAAAATGGCCCGTTTTCTGCGTTTTGAGCGTTTTCGACATTTATAGCTGAAAACGATAAAAAATCATTTTGCGTTTTCAGTTATAAATTTTAACTCGTTTTTCGAAAACGATGGACCAAACGCGTTTTCCGCGTTTTCGAAAATGAAAAACGGAAAATGGGCCAAAAACGACAAACCAACCACAACCTTAGTTTCTTCAATCTCCAAACATTTCATTCCTAATTATACTATGAAAATTCAAATAATATTGATTCTTTCGAAATACTGGAAGTGATAGACCACCCAATTTAAAAATAAAAACAAAAATAAAAATAAAAAAATAAATTTCGTACTTCCATTGTGATTCAACAAAAAATGCCAAACAATTCCCAAAAGCTGGCATGGACAGCAAGCAAAATATATCTATGTTTTCTCACCTTGTTGTCAAAAAAGATCCCCTGGCTTTCAAAAGCTTTATGCTCAGCTTTACACCTCTCAATCACTTCAGAGCTACAATACTTGCTTAAAACTTCAACATCACCCTACAGACAGCAAGTAAACTCGGTCAAATATCCATAGTGAGATGATATCCTAATGCCAATATATTGCCCAATGAAGACATGAAAAAAGAATATCTGCGATTAGCTTCTTCTGGAGCATGTATATGTTCCACCCAATGATTTCAAACCCGACCACATATTGACCCGGTAGACGTCAAAGGAAAGCAATGGAGGGGGAAGTTGCGTCAAAAAATAATAAAAGGATAAATTACCACTCCATAAAAAATTAAAGAATGGAACATAATTTTCATTGGGAAAGAACAATGCACCCACTATGTGGGAAGACATATCATTGGAAAACTTTGTAGTTTGTAACATATTAATATTTATTGTCTGGTAAATAAAAATTACTAATGGGAAAAGTGAAAACTCAGCCTTATCATGTGCCATACCAAAAATTTAATTAAATTAAAGGCACAATACAAATGGATAATTTCTACAATTAAAGGCAAATTTTACATGACAACTAGTATGTTGCTGTCACAAGGTTGGCGAAAAACTCCCTCCCCTAAATTGTAAAAACAAATCTTCTTCTTTTAGGAAAGTGAGAAGAAAAAGAGATCTCCCAGAAGACAAAAAATAAATAAATCAATCTATAAATAATTGTCAAATCGTGGCCAGTTCACAGTTGAGCAAGCTGGTTGACTGGTTTTTCCCCTAGTTTTTTAGCTACACGGGTTTTATAATGTAATCAGATCACTTCCCGGTTTCTGTGATCTAACTGGCTCGATCCAGACAGGTTTTGACAACATTGGTTCTACCACCACTACATCCGGATGACAGCATGTGGTAATTGCGAAAAATTCGAGGTGAAGTTTAGTTTCTCAAGAGTAAAATATCTTTCAAGCACAGTGGTCTGCCGCCCCTAATTCCATATAAACTTGAAAACTTACTTTGAAGTAAGCATTAAGAACTGGTTTGATCACTTCTTGAACTTCAGCCACAAATTCTGGTAAAGAGAATGTCCTAACATAGGAGCAAGTGAAGTAAGTAAGACCTCCAGAAAAGCACAATAACTTTTAAAATGAAAATAGCTAGCAAAATATCAGCATCATACGGGTCTCTACGACGTATTTCCTTGAAAGACATGGCCGCATCTGATTCTCCAAGTACAGTTTCACTAATACTGCCATATAGATGCTACGAATTAATCTCAACATGCTTTGGCAGTCTTCTACCTATCTTATACTGAAATAAAAATTGAATAAGAAAAGGATTAATGCGTACTCTTGGATTTTGTGAACAACTGGGTGATCACTAGTCTCCCATCTCTCCCTCATATCCTCTGCAATCTGCCAATTTCGTCGAAAAATTAATGAAATTCATAGCTTCAAAAACAGAACATAGCATAATAGTACTCATGGTATACAGGATAGACCGAAGTGGAGACAATATCCATTTTTCAGTAATAACCTCTCTATTAGAGAACATAAAGACCACATAGTAAGATGACCCTAAGCTATTTTACCTTTAACAGAAGGCAGAAGCCAAATGCTGACAATAACCAATAGCAGTAATATTAGTTTGAAGTAACAAGAAACTAAACTTACACTAGTAGTATTTAACTCATAATTGTCCATAAGCAATACAAGGATTTAGTGCTTGTTTGTGCCCCATTATTTGTGAATAATGTATTACGAAATAGTGATTGATGTTGAAATGTGTGGTTAAAAAAGAATGAAAAGATTCGCTTTACATGTAATATTATTTTAATGAAAAATGGTTGAAAATGAGTACTGTAAAAAAAATAATGTGGTATAATGGTAAACAAACAAAGCCTTATTCTAAAGAAAGTTACTAAGAGAGAAGTGGGAACAGAAGTTAGTTTATGGACATTCTAGCATATATTGACCAAGTTAACGACTACAACAGTGGCAGCTTATAAAGTAGAACATTGCTAGTCAGATGCAAAATAATAAAAATCACAAATGCAGTTAGTATGATATCCAAAAACAACTTAGGTAGCTGTTAGAATTGAATTTAGCGGAAATATATATATATAAATGTTGACCAATAGTTTAGGACCATAGAGCAATATCTTTCACGTGCAGATTTTTTTTTTCTTGGCTAAATCTTTGTAATATGATTACATGATTGATTTAAGTATTGCATGTCAATTAGCCTAATTAATTGGTTAATTATTATAATTATAAAAACTTTCATTTATTACAATTAGAAACATTATTTATACATGTGTAACTAGCAATCTCGTATTTTTTTCAGCTATGTTAGAATATTTATTTTGACATCATACAATTTTATTAAAATAATATTACACATAAATAAAAATCTTTTCCTTATTTTTCAACCATACATTTCTCATCAATTTCCTAGCATTTTTTCCATAAAAATACACCCTCAAAATATTTAGTTATATGTCAATACCTTATTAGTAGCAATTATATATTCATTAATATAGTCAATTGGGTGATTAGTTGAGTGATTAATTACACTCTATATGGAAAAACGTATAACATTAATAATTGAATGAATGTTGATGCCAACAATAGGTAATAGGGCCAAACTTTTGAGATCCCTATATATACCCCCTCACATCATTTACACGCACAATTTCTCGTCCTTTGCATCTCTTTTTCTTAACTCATCTTCCACGTACATTTTCACATTACAAAGTTTAGTACGCATGGTGTCCAAGGAATTTTGGAGTGAAAGTATAACAAGACAATTTCCTCGATTTATCTTTATCTTCTTTCATACAACTGTAAGTGTATTAGTACGAATTGTTTTTTCGTTATTTAAATTACGAAAATTTATATTATGAATATGATAATACGAAAATCTAAGTTATGATCATGATAAAAGTCTTATACATGTAAGTTCAAAGGACCGGAATTTAGTAACGCTGTGCACGAAAATTATAGTCACGAAGTTCTGATTGTAATTCACACGTCTCCATATGTATGTTATGATTTTTCATATTTAAATAAGAGATGCAATTCATTATTACTCATTTATTAATGAGATTTATGTCTCATATGTATGTGTTAAATATTTTATAGGTAACTAAAAAGATAGGTTCGAGGCGATCGGAGGTGGATTTGGTTGCGTGGGTAAAAAATGAAGAATAACTTGAACAATTAAAGATTTTAATGATGTTCATTGTATTTTTTAAAACTAATTTTAAATCCTCGTATGTTCAGAAAATATTATGTTATTCGTTATTTATGGAAGTATTCTTTTACAATACTTGTATAATAATTCCAAAGGAAAAAAATTAGGGTCGTTACAACAAGGTATCAGAGCAGGTCTACATCTCTATAGGCTCCTTTAAAAAAAAAATAAAAAAAGATTTAAGTTTTATTATATCGTCGCCACACAATACCACTTTCCGACACCATCGAATCAAGTAGAAAAATATGCAAATGCATTAATATTTAATGTTATAATCATATGATGATAATTATATAATAATCAGGTTCATTATACTTACCTATGTTTAGAACATGCTAGTTTATGAAAAATTAAACATGTCTACGAACGATTATATTGATATGTACGAAATTATATTTAAGCAAATTAGAATTTTGTTTATTTATGAAAATGTATTTATTTATATATAAATTTCTCTTTATATGTACCTAATTACGGAAACTTCCTAAATTTTTAGAAAGTGTAAATTTATGAAGGCTTATACTTCGAAAAAATTCTAGTTATGAAATTGACAATTTTATGATATTATGTGACTTTAAACTATTAAGTACATCATGTTATAATAGTTGACCTTGGAAAGTCTCTCGATCAAATAATAGTCTAATTAGGAAAATCATACCTAAAATATTTTAATTTTCTATTTATTGTTCGAGTTTTCTTGGTTTGCGTATTTGCAAAACAGAAGGAATTCGTGAAAAAGACCTAAATTGTCTAAGGAGAGCTTGGAATTTATGTGGTCCACTTGTGATCCCCTCATCACTTGTAAGCCACTCAGTCGAGCGTTATTTAAGCCAATAAAATGGAAAATAATATTGCACACTCATTTTAAATTTAAGAAGATTTCCAAATTTTATTATTCAAAAACTTAAAATAACTTTCGATTTTGGAAACATTTATTCTAGGAAATCCTATCTTACGAAACTTTCATTTTTAGAAACCCCGATCAAAGGAATTTTTTCATTTTGTAAAGTGTCTAATTTGAGAAACTACCATCGAACAACACTTATATTTCCAAAAATTTATATATAAAAAATTCTTATTTTACAAAATTTCTATAAAATATGGAAAAAAAAATATAAATAAAAAATAAAACCTCATTTAACCTTTTATTTATTTTAATTTAATATAGTTTATTAAAACTATGACACCCTGAGGTACGAGAGCAAACAAAGCTTCGTAGCAAAGAAATACTACTGGTTAAAGTGTTATGGCAACATCATTCAACAGAGAAGGCCACTTAGGAATGCGAGGAGGAAATGCCACAACTTTTTGCGGACAACAGTTGGGGCAATTTTTGAGGACGAAAATTTTTTAGGTGTGAAGATCCAAGAACTTAGGTAGCCAATAGAATTGAATTTAGAAGCTAGAAATAAGGTTTTTCTTTACTTTGATGACCTAATTAAATGTTGACCAATAGTTTAGGACCATAGAGCAATTTCTTTTACATTTGCATTTTTTTTCTAGGCTAAATCTTAGTTGTTTTTCTTTTTTCTTTTTTTTTAATAAATAGGCTAAATCTTAGTAATATGATGGCATGATTGATTTAAATATTGCATGTCACTTTGCCTAATTAATTGGTTTATTATTATAATTAGAAAAACTTTCATTTATTAAAATTAGAAACATCATTTATGCATGTATAATTAGCAATCTCGTATTTTCATATGGTATGTTAGAATATTTATTTTGATATAATTTAAATTAAATGTTAAATTATATGGAAATACCTTATTAGTAGTAATTATATATTTATTAATAAAGTTAATTGGGTAATTACTTGAGTGATTGATTACATTCTATATGGAAAAACATGTGACATTAATAATAGAATGAATGTTTTGTTACCAAAAATAGGTAATAGGGTCAAACTTCAAAGACCTCTATATATACCCCCTCACATCACACACTTCTCCTATACTTTGCATCTCTCCTACTCTTAACTAGTCTTCCACGCACATTTTCACATTACAAAATTTAGCGCGCACGATATCCAAGGAATTTTGAAGTGAAAGTCTAACAAGACAATTTTCTCGATTTACCTTTATCTTCTTCCATACAACTACAAGTGTAGTAGTACAAATCATTCGTTCATTATTTAAATTACAAAAATTTATGTTATGAATATAATTATACCGAAATCCAAGTTCTGATTACAATAAGGTTCCTATATGGGTAAGTTTAAAAGACCGGAGTTTAGTAGCGCTATGCATAGGAATTATACACACGAAGTTCGAATCTAATTCCCATGTCTCCATGAGTAATGATTTTCCGTATTTAAATATGAGATGCAATTCGTTTATTACTCATTTACTGATATTTATGTCTCACATATATATGTTAAATATTTTATAGGTAACTAGAAAGATGGGTTCGAGGCGATCAAAGGTGAATTGTGCTTGCGTTGGTGAAAAAAGAAGAATAACTTAAGTAGTTAAAATCAACAAATACTCGCATGTTTAGAAAATATTATGTTATTCTTTGTTTATGAAAGTAATCTTTTACGGACACGTATGATGATTTAAAAAGTAAAAATTTGGGTCGTTACACGTAACTTGTAAATTATAGTAAGTAGTGATTGTGTAAATATAAAAATCAAAAATTGCAAATCTCATTCTGGCTAGTTAAGAATTTGAACCGACTAACAAAATATTAGGGATAGTAAAATACCCCAATCCTACTCTAAATGCAGCAGCGAATCTCGCCCTGTTAAGTAATAGGGACGGGGAAGGAAAACATAGTTCATGCCCCAAATTCCCCAAACCCACCCCAAATCTTTTTCTTTTTATGTTTTTAAATTCAAATTGTATTTAAAAATAAATTTTAACTCAAATAAATAATTAGTTAAAAGGGCGGTAAAGGGGATATTTTAATCCCTGCCCTGCCACATTGCCATCCATACAAAACATTGGTCTTCTAGACTAGTATTTTAATATTTTGGAATATGAAAAATTAATTTTTTTGTTTTAAGTGTCGGTAGAATAAAAACATTAGAGTAGAATAAAAAGGAAATGTGGAGGCAAATAATTGCATCATTGAGGGTTAAGAAGTACCTCCTGGCTCTTTCCGATTACAGGCTCACTTATCCCACTAGCATGCTTGAATATAGGATGTCCTTTCATCTGCAATATGAAACAGTTACATCAAATAAAACTATGAAAGGAAAACATTTAATGACATTTGGTAGGTCGCATAGAATGAATACCCGTGATATCTGACCTTTTCTTTGAATGCCTCCCATTTCTTACTCCATGCAGACTGCTGTGAGGGCAACACAACTACATCGGTCCGTGTGCTCCTTTCAACTTTTGGTGATGAGGAAACAGAAGAAGCATCATATTCCAATCGCTTTCTCCTGTTTGGGTTACCTTTCAACTCGTCCTTCACAATATCGTAACCCTTCTTCACCAAGTCAATGGGTTTTGCTTCCTTCAATTTCAGGAAGGCCAATGAAACTTTAGAAGAGACGGAAGAAACACCATACTTAACCTTGCTAAATATTGTATCTGTAGTATCGCTAGATTCAGATTGCTGCTTCTGTCCCTGCTGCTTTTCTTCTCTAAATGCGGAATAACTTCCATCTTTGTCGTTTGAGCTGTAATTAGCCGAAGTGCCATCGCTTTTTTGAGACTCTTGCTTTCCAATACCAAAATTTTCTTTTACCTGAATTGTAAATTTAGAGTCTCATTATTATCATGTTTGTATAACTTATCTTTTGTGCCAGAAAATGGTCCTGCACAAATTCAACTCCTGAAAACATAATTTTACGAACCTCCACTTTTGCAGCAGAAATCTTTTCCTCCACATCAGCATATACCTACAAGATAACGCAGGAGCAGGAAAGTATGTTGTAAACATACAGATAAAGCTTGCAGCAGTTGCTTTCCCATATATTATCAGTGGCCATGGAAAAGAACATATGTATACATGCGATTGCTGTTTCTGAATTCTAAATTCCAGTAACTATCAAGTAATATATCCCGCCATAAGCATGCCATACATTCCCTATATATATGATTTTGTGGAGTTTTAACTGATTTTACCATTTAGGTTTTTTCTGTGAAAATAATAGAGTAAACTAGTTGGAATCTCAAGAATTGCTGCATTATTGGCTGGAAGGATATGGATAATCAGCAATATACTGCAAATACGAAGAAAAACTGTGCTAAGTTTTGAGAAGTTATTTTTGTGGAGTTACTAGAAATTGTTCAGAAAAACAAAATGCGGCCAGCACCTTTCTTGTTGCTAAAAGAGTGTGAAATTTGTAATTACCGAATGAATTTCATTGCTTCATTTAGTATCATTAAATTGCTCAACCAAATAAGGGGAACTTTTAAGTAGCTCTTATCATAACCTTGTAGAAGGAACATTCGAATGTAATACATAAAATTTCTTTAAGCAGGACTATTGCCACCATAAGCTCTAGGCAAATAGTTCGCACTCAGTCATGGATTTATGGACCCTTCAAAAATCTAGATAGTTCGTCCCTCAAGTTATCATGCACATTTTAAGAAATGTGATGCAGAAATGGCAAACTTATTTGGTATTCTTACATCCTCACCATCACCCCACACTTAGCAACAAGGAAAGACAAAAATGCATGCACAAACACTGTCAAATCCAGTCCCACTAGTAGCTACACGTAATTTCAGCTAAAACAGATACTTAGGGTCGTCTAATAAATTACGCACCACCATAAATTAAACAGGAAATGGACAAAATCAGTGCCCAAGAAAACATCATATATTGATAGGATATAAAAAATATCCAGTGATATCATTACCTCCCTAGGACAATAATGAGTGTGTGAGACAAAGAAGAATAGCTAAAAAGCAATAGCATTTTCCCAGTGATAATTCAAGTAAATCAATATCCATGTTCATCAATTCACCTTGACAAAGCCAACCACATAATCATCAAAGAGATTTATACCTTTTTTGCCTTCTCCTCGGCCTCCGTCCAAACACCATCCACGTGCTTGTACAGCTTCTCAGATGTCTGCTTAGTTCTGCATTTTGCCATTTCACCATCTCAGGGTCCCATTGGAAATGTCTGCCAGCCTTGACATACAAAAGTATGTCTCAGCCTATATGTAATTAACAAGAACAATGAAATAAAAAAAGAAATTAGATAATAACCTAACTTTCAGATCTTCTTTCACCCCTTTCAGTTCTTCCGCTTTCTCCTTAAATTCCTTCACGGATTGTTTAAATTCCTGGTTCCTACAGCAAATTGAATCAGGATACTTAAATAGCCACAACATTTTAATCACCTTCAGTTACAATCTTGATATACATCGAGATTCAGCAATGTAGCATTGCAAGCCCATCAATAAGATATAGCGGTATTATTATATTTTTATTAGAAAAATAAAAAAAATTAAAGGAGAATAGCCAAGAAAAAATCCAATTAGTAACCAAGAATGAAAATAGATTGAAATGCAAAACGACCAAAGAAGGAAATAACGATTGAAGAAAGATACTTTTAGAAGACAAAGAATCCTGGCAAACACGAAGGGAAAAATGACAAAAAAACACAAAAAATAAACATGTTTACTGAACAGAAAATAATTATTAATGAGTGCCATTTTCGGCTTCAATACTGAACTCTACTAAAAGCACCTATTAAACGAAATTATCGAAAGATAACATTGACAGAGTAACTCAGAAAGTTATACTTTAATGTAAAGCAAAACAAAAATAACAACAAGAAGAATCCAGTGAATAAAAATAAAAATACCGGTCAACTTCGCCTTTAATCTTCTTGGAGAACTCACTAAACACGCTGAACTCGCGTCTAAACGAATGCCCATTTGGCGGAACCAAACGTAGCCTCGCATGTCTGCTAGAAACCTACACAAAATAACCATAATACTAATATCATTTAACACAAACATATTAAAAATACAATCTTTTCGGAAAAATTACAAAACCCACTATGCTTTTACAATTAGAAGAACGGAAAAGGACACACACCTGTTCAGCTTCTAACAGCTGACGAAAAAGAGGCTGTTTTGATCGCAATAAATTCGGGACAAGTTTTCTGCTAGCCATGGAGGCTATAAAACTAATTTCTTCGCAGTCTTTTTCTCTTTCTTAATATAGCAAACACAAAAAAATTGGAAGTTCCAAGCAGGGATCCTGCTGGTTCTTGCGTTTAACCTTCTTCTTGTGAAGAAGGAAAATCAGGAGCGAAATGAGACTTGGGGATTTGTGCAAACACACACAAGCCAACCCACGAAAACGCCGGTTTGGGTCGGTTTTTTGGTGGGTTACGGGCTGTGTTGTTGGATCGGTTTATTGGTTAACCAATGAAACCCTAAATAACCAAACCCAACCCAACCCGCCAACATTTAAAAGTGTGAAAAAAAAAAAAAGAAAAAAAAAAAGATGAAATGAATGAAAAGAAGCCCTAAACGGAGCCCTACTTCTTCTCGCTTCTCACTGTTCTCAGTTCTCAGTTCTCATGCGACGCCACAAGACAAGAACTGAAGAAGCCCTAATCTCTCGGTCTCTCTCTTGTCATTTTCTCTCAATTCGCAAGAATCGCAACGGCAAACTCCGTTTTTCTCAGTCTCCCCTCTAAAACAAATGACATGAAAAGAGTGTCATTTCGAATTTCAAATTTTATGCTGCACAAGTAATATTATGTAAGTTGAAATACTCTTTATTTAATTGGCAGTGCTGTTTTAGCTCATTTTTTGTTGAAAGAGAAATTGCGGAAGTTAGGATTTAGGAATATTGGGATGTGTTTTGTGTTTAGTAGGTTCCACTGTCATTGTGCTTCATGCACATGCTGAACATGGTATTAGTTCTGTGGAAGAAATCTAGGAATTAGCAATAAAGCCAGGTGAACATATTTCCCTAAAAGATGTTATTTAAATTTTCTTTATTTTAATGTTATTCTCACAACAGAAAATAGTATATGCATACCACAATTATTGATGAGAAAACCTTACTGTCTGAAAATACTATATGCATATCTTGTTTACTGTTTGATTTATTGTTCCCACTTCCCAGCATCTTATTCTTACTATTTGATGTCAAATATTATATTATTCAACTGAAGATTTGGGACCAATTATTGATGCAGAGTCTGTGGACAACTAGAGTCAGTTTAGTTTTGAGGTCGTACAAAATTAACATCACTTTAGGAAATGGACACAACCATAGGTGTTGTATTATTGCTTTGTTGTATTGCATTGTTATTTTTATTAAATACATCTATTTGGTCGTTTTATAATTTTGGTGGAATATGTTTGTAGATATGGATGATTGTGAAGTACTCGGCACAGAATCTCCATCAAATGACATAGATTTGCAAGCAAGTCTTCCTCCACGTGCACTGTCAACATTAGGTAAACGAAAATCTAATAGATTAGCTTCATATGTTTGGGATTACTTTACGCTTTTGGGCTTAAGGGATGATCCAGATGTTAGGTGTAAACGTAACTACTGTGGGGTAGATTATACTTGTGGCACTAAGAAGTGTGGTACTAGCACATTGGGCTATCATTTGACAAATCAATGTAAGAAGTATCCTGGTAGATTGGTGGATAAGAAGCAAAAAAAATCCTTTTTTTTTTAACAAAAAAGAGGGTGGCGGTAGCAATCTTGTTGCTATTGGTCGAAATAAAGAAGAGTGTAGAGTTGCATGTACTAAGATGGTTGTGTTGGATGAATTACCTTTTAGGTTTGTTGAAGGTCGGGGTTTTAAGCTCTTTTGTAGTCTAGCATGTCCTCAATTTAAGGCTCCATCTCGGAGGACTCTTGTTAGAAACATCTATCAATTGTATTTAGATGAAAAACTGAAATTGAGAGAGGTCTTTTCTTTTCACCATCAAAGGGTTTCCCTCATAATTGATATTTGGACTTTCATTCAAAATGTTAATTACATGTCTCTTACAGCACATTTTATTGATTCTGATTGGACACTTAATAAGCGTATTTTAAATTTTTGTGTTGTCCCAATCACAAAGGAAAAACGATTGGGAAAATGATTGAGACTTGTTTGCAAGATTAGGAAATTGAGAAAGTTTTTACAATCACTGTTGATAATGCAAGCTCTAATGATGTGGCTATTGTTTATCTTAGGAGGAAGTTGATTGCTTGGGGTAGTGATAGACGTGCTCTAGATGGGAGATATTTGTACTTGAGGTGTTGTGCACACATTATAAACTTGATTGTTAGTGAGGTGTTGAGGGAAGTACACGACTCCATTGTGAATATCCACAATGCAATCAAATATGTGAAATCTTCTCCTGCTAGGTATGAAAAACTGAAGGAGTGTGCGGGAAATGAGAAGATTGATTGCAAGTCTATTGTATTTCTGGATGTTCCAACTAGGTGGAATTCTACCTATTTGATGTTGGAAGCGGCATTGAAATTTGAGAAAGCTTTTGATAGGTTAGAAGAAGATGATTTTCAATATTTGCATTACTTTCGGGAAGATGATGGTGGTAAAAAGAGAGGTGGCTCTCCTTCAAATTTAGATTGGAAAAATGGATCTGTGTTTGTCAAGTTTCTTAAAAAAATAAATTGATGTGACTTTAACTTTTAGTTCTTCATTGCATGTTAGTGCTTGTGCTTATTTTCATGAAATTTGTAATCTTGTAATCGAATTGGATGAATGGAGATTGAGTGATAATTTTTTATTTGGTGAAATGGTGACTAACATGAAGAAGAAGTTCGAAAAGTATTGGGGTAAAATGGAAAATGTGAATCAATTGTTACTTATTGCTACTATCCTTGATCCAAGTTATAAAATGGATTATGTTGAATACTGTTTTAGTGATCTATATATGGATGAGGAAGTTGTTAGTAACATGATAAATTTTTTGAAAGAAAATTTCATGGATATTTATGAGTGGCATGTGGCATGTGAAGGTGTTTATGGAAGTAGTCAAGTATCAACTGATGAGTCTTTGAGTTCTTTCGGTACAAATAAAGATAGTTCTTCTATGAGTGATACTCGTCTTTCTAGATTTTTGAAAAAACAAGCTGTAAAAGGTTGTGCTAAAATAAAAAATGATGTGGAAATATACTTACTTGATGCTCATGAAAGCATAGAGAACAAGGACTCTGATGTTCTAGATTGGTGGAAGCTTAACAAAAGTAAGTACGTTGTCTTGTCTAATCTTGCTAAGGATGTGTTGGTAATTCAAGTTTCAACTGTTGCTTCAGAAAGTGCTTTTAGCACCGGATGAAGGATCCTTGATCCTTTTCATAGTTCATTAAGTCTTAAAATGGTGGAAGTCTTGGTATGTACACAAAATTGGTTGAAAGCTTCTCCATAGTTAGATGGTTTCCACATGGAAAATGTTGAGCATTACAACCAATTAGATGAAGATAATATGTATTTTTTCATAAATTTTGTTATTTTGACTTTATTTCTATGTATTTTGTTGTCAACTTAATCAAATTTTCTTTTTCTGGTAGAATTGGAATCAATGAATTCAAAATATGATCAAGGGCACATGAATTAATTTGTTTGATATCTAGTTTTTGTTTGTGCCAAGTGCCAATAGTTATTGGATAATTATTTTGTTTGTGTCAAGTGCCAATGGTTATTTGATGGCTGATTTTTATTTTTTGGCACAAAAATTGATTTGTTTTGGTGGCTAGTTTTTTTCTCAGCAAATTTTTGTTTGTGCCAATAGTTTTTTGCCTTGGTACTATAGCTTTGTAATTAGATATATAATTGTTATTGGATAGTTATTTGATGTGCATTTGGTGATTATACCATTATTTTTTTGAAGTTTATTGATGTTAGAAGACTATATTAATGTTGCTTTAAATTTAGTATTTTGACGACTTTAATATTTGTTGATAGGTTATCCCAACCTGACTGACATTTGGTTGGGTTGAACATTAATAAAATCGACCACGTTGGGTTGGGTTTGAGTTGAGATAAAAATTGACCCAACCCAACCTAACCCACGCTCACTCCTGTGTGTTTGCTCCTTGCTGCCGTACCCTAGCATAAGAATTTGGGGTATTTTAAAAAATGTCTAATTTTATGGGTGTCAATGTTCATTCTTTAAATTTAGCACTAAACTGTCTATTATGCCCTTAATGAAAAAAAGAAACAACTTATTTATTTTTTCAATTTGTTGCGGATTTCGAGAAGTGGCTTCCATGAGAAGCCACATTAAAATGAAGTTCTCGACATTTCAAATGTCATTTTCGATATCCGTTTATATTTTAAAAGTACACATGTCAAATCATAATATTAAATGTTCTCCACATTTCAAATGTTGTTCTTGATATTTTAAATATCTAGAATGACATTTCATTCCGAAGATGACATTTCTCTACACTTGAAATGTAATTCTTGACGTTTCTATGCCAACGAGAACAATAGCATTAATTGTGATTTGACATATGCATTTTTGAAATAAATATGGCGGTTTATGTGTCAAAAATTTATTGGCCAATAATATTTTTGCAAAAATATCAATTTATTGTCTTTGTGTTGAATCATAAATTATTCACATGGGTATTTTGGTCTAAAATATTCCAAAATGGACATTTTTGTAAGGATTTGTGAAAGTGGACATTTTTACAAATGCACATGTGAAATTGGACATTTCAAGTAATTTCCTCTAAAAATTTTATGGGACTGTTTGGATCGCAAGACAAGTCCTTTACACACCCTGTTTGTCCCCCATTCTCATTCTCATTTTTTTCTCTCTTATTTTTAATCATACAATCTTCCACAAAATAATATTACACACAAATCAAAAACTTTTTATTCCTTTTCAACCACACATTTTTCAGAAAATACTATTTCAACCATTAAAATTTGATAAAAATAGGGGCCAAACGAGGGCTTTTCACTCTTTTTCTTTCCTTCATGACAAGAATGAAATAAACATTTTGAGAAATAGGCATAAATGGTACCTTTAATATGATGTATTTTAAAATAGCAAATATTTTTTGAAAAATGTGTAATTAAAAATTAAAAAATAAATTTATGTGTAATATTATATTATTTGAAATGTGTGATTGAAAAATGAGTATTAAATAAGTGTGTGTTTGAGCCACATTATTTTGGAAAAATTTATTTTAAAATTGTAGATTGATAAAGAATGTGTAGTTAAAAAATAAGCAAAAATTTTGAATTTGTATATAATATTATTTTATTGAAAAATATGTGGTTGAAATAATGTTAAATCACTATAGAATTTTTTTTTTAAAGAATGTAGCTCAAACAGAGCATAAATG